CTAAATTAATGTCAATGCGAACTTTTTTACCTGGGGAATTTGCAAGGAAGCCGAGGACATTGTTAGAGCTTCCTAATTGGAAAAGCACTGTATTTAGGCAGTTCCTTTTATACACAGGTATTGTAGCTCTTAAAGATTCAATATTTAATGACAAGTTTTATATATTTTAATATTTTTTTTTTTTATATTTTCAATAATGGAATTTAGCAGAAAAGCGGTACCCATTCTTTATTTAGAAAAAATAGTAGTAGTTCCATGTTCGCATTTTTTTTTTAAATTGGATTTTTAGTTTTTATTTGTAAAGGAGGTGTTTAGTTTGTGGGCGTAATTATACCCGTTACTCGTAGAGTAAAAGGGTATACTAGATTCGTCGGAAAGTATGTAACAGGCAGAAGAAAGCGTTTCCGGCCCCATAAAGTATATATATTCTTGATCAGGATCACTAGCCGAGTCGATCTAGCCATGTCCGTCTGTCTGTCCGTCCGGATGAACGCTGAGATCTCGAAAACTATAAGAGCTAGGCTATTGAGATTTGGCGTGCAGATTCCTGAGCTTCTTACGCAGCGCAAGTTTGTTTCAGCAATGTGCCACGCCCACTCTTATGCCCACAAACCGCCCAAAACTTTGGCTCCTACAGTTTTGATGCTAAAATAAAAATTTTAACTAAAATGTATTGTTCTCATCAATACCTATCGATTGACCCAAAAAAAACTTTGCCACGCCCACTCTAACGCCCAAAAAACCGCCCAAACCTGTGACGCCCACAGTTTTCATGCTAGATAACAAATTTTAACTGAAATGTATTGGTGTCGTCAATACCTATCGATTGATCTAAAAAAAAATTTGCCACGCCCACTCTAACGCCCATAACGCTTAAATCTGTCTACCGCCAGTAGGTGGCGTATTTTAATCTCGCTTTGCTGCTTGCATATCTCCATTTAGCTGAGTAACGGGTATCTGATAGTCGAGGTACTCGACTATAGCGTTTTTCCTTGTTTTATTTTGAAGATTCACCTACCTTGGTTTGAAACCAAAAAAAAAAATTCATTTGTATTATTTTTTTTATTATTTCTTTTTATTTTCTTTATTTACAATTATTGTTTATTTACTCTTTATTATTATTTTCCATTATTTTTGTTTATTTTTTATAATTTCATATACTTCTAACTATTTACTAATATTTTCGTTATTTACAATTATGGTTTATTTTCTGTTTATTATTTTTTTTTTATTTTTTATTTTTTTTTTTTTTTATAATTTGATAAGTTTATAATTTTTTTATTAATATTTGAGTTAACTATTTTTTTGTATTTTTTAACATTTTTAAATTAGTAGGTCTCAACCAAATGCAAAAATTCGTTTAGTCCAGTTTGATGTGGAATGTGAGTGTAAACACAAGAAATTGATTTTCTTGTTTCAATATCCATAGTGATTGCATTAATACAATATTTTTTTACAGAAACCCCATTGGTCTCTAGTGAGTTAATAAATTTGTGTTATTGTGTAATTTTGTAATTTTTCTTCGTTTTTTTTTAAGATTCAACTGAATGACAAATGGCAGTGTTGAAAGGTATGTTTTATAACCCTACACTGAAAATAGTAATCGCCCTGATTTTTAGAAATTTGTCGTCATTGGCGATTTATTTTATAAATTTTATAATAATAATAATTAATAAATACGGCCGAGTACTATTTTTAGTGTAAGTAACAGTATTAATATTTAAAAGTATTCGGCCGGATTTTTTTGAAAATTTATTGTATTCTAAATTTATAAAATAAATCGCCATTGACGACAAATTTCTAAAAATCAGGGCGATTACTATTTTCAGTCTATTTTGATGTTTTATTTATTTTTTGTAATGTATATAGATTAAAATTTCCGAAGAGGTTCTCCAGATCCGCAGGGAGATCTCTGTCGTAATGCAGAAGTTGGACCTTTTGGCGGACAAACTGGCGGAAACCGCCGCCATTTTAAAGGTGTCGTTTGCTCCTGTCAAGGAGATTTCGGGCGTGGTACCATTTCCGTTAAAAACGGAAGAGGAATTGGATGAATTCGAAAATTCCTTGACCCCGGAGCCTATCGGTTTTTACGTAAGTTCGAGCAAGGCCGACTTGTTTTTGCATTTTTATGTTTCTTTTTTATTTATATTTTCAGACAAAGAAAATATCAAAAATTATTGGGAGCGAACTGCTGTCAAAGCGGTTCAAACTTGTCATAGCGGAAAACATTATAAACAACTACAATTTGGACGGGTCCAACGGGAAAAAGTCCCTCAGATCCCGTATAGGGTTATACGGAGTTATTAAAGGTAAATATACAAATAAACAAGTAAAACGCATTTCTAAACATATGCCATTACATTTTTTCAGGAGCGTTGAAATGTTTGAGAAAGGCGATGACAAATGTTAAAAATAAGCTTACAAAACAAAAAACAGAAACAATAATTGTCCATTATTTGAAAATTTGAATAATACCATCTAATTAATATGAATTAAAATTTAATTAAATATTTATGTATTTTAAATTCTATATTTTCATAATTGAAAACTCATGGGAAAAATTCTGAATTTCACAAAATTTATGCTGCCATCGAAAACTTCGACGTTACATTTGGTCGCTTGCCATTAAATTCAAATGTATTGGAATTTTTTAATGACTTGAAGCTTAAGTTTCCTCATATAAGTGCACTAGCGCAGGTTGTGCTGGCTATTATATTATATTAAGTGAACGAAGAAGTTTGATTAGTGCAGAGAATCTGAACGCCTTACTAGTTATAAAGCTTAACACATAATATATATTTGTAGACTCTCATTGTGCGAGCGTTTCGCGTTCCGCTCTTTACGCACTGCTCATTAAAGAGCGACGTACAAAGAGATCAACGGAAAGCGCTCAACAGAAAACATAAATGAAGATAGAAAGAGTCGTTTGCTCAGAGCGAGAGCGAGAGAGTATGAACTTTTTCGGTTGTGCTCGCAACGAGAGCGCCTGAAGAAAAACGGTTGACAGTTATTTGCGAGCTATGAACAAAATACATTTATTGTTGGGGTCCTAAAACTCGGGTCAGTAGAAAATAGAATCACATTTGAAAAGTTACAAACTGTTTTCTGTTAAGCGAAGCCAGAAATAACTAAGTACACAAATAAACTGTTTCACTCTGACGAATTTCCCAATTTGTCATTCAATATAATTTATCAAACAGAATATAAGTGTCGACAGTTAATTACGAGCTTTGAAATCTACACAAAATTGATTGACTTTGACTTAGTAAACCAAAATCCTCATAAAGTTGTATTTCCCAATTATACCCGTTACTCGTGGAGTAAAAGGGAATGCTACATTCGTGGGAAAGATATAACAGGTACATATATACATGATCAGGATCTGTCGGTCCGTTCGTATGAACGCTGAGATCTCGGAAACTATGAAATCTACAGGGCTTGGACTTGGCATGCAGATTCTTGCGCAGCACAAGTTTATTTCAGCCGCCACGCCCACTCTAACGTTCGCTCATAACGCTAAAACCTTTTTACGATTATCAATAACTATCTATACGCCAAAAATGGTTAAAATCCGTCAATTCGTTAAAAAGTTGTTAGTAAATAAAGAGTGAAATCACAAAAACAGCCTGTTTGCTGCATGCATGCATCCATCTCCCATCCATCTAATAGTCGAGGTCATCGACTTTCTTGTTCTTGTTTATCACAAATCAAATATATTTAAAATGAATTAGCTTTTTGGTCTGTAGACGATAGGTTGCGTGTTGGTGTGGTGTGCAATCTTAAAAAACATTTGCTGTATGCATATCTCTTTCTCTATCGCACGTCCTTTAGCTAAGGAACGTGTGTCTGATAGTCGATGTCATCGTTTTCCCTTTTTTTCTTTCTTTCTACGATAGGTTGAAAGTTTACAACAGAATATAAATTTAATTTTACTTAATTTTTACCTATTACCTTATTATTTTCTTATTATTAAATTTTTTTAAGTTTCCGAGATCTCGGCGTTCATACGGACATGGCTAGATCGACTCGGCTAGTGATCCTGATCAACAATATATATCTCCCATAACGCTAAAACCCGTTTAGCATATGCATACTATTTTATAAAAAATTAAACTTTGTTCTTATTATCAATACTCACCAAAGCCAAAAATTATTTAAAAAGTTATAAGCAAATAAAATGTGCTATCTTGGGAACAGTCGGTTTGCATATCTCCACCTCCATCGCACTCCCTTTAGCTGAGTAACGGGTATCTTTGTTTTTTATAAAAAAGTCATTTCGATATCATAGAGTAATAATGTATAGAGGCGTCATCTACTCTGCCGCTCTCTTTAGATAACGAGGCTATGATGCCACCTAGGCGAAAAAAGCCCATTTCCCCTCTTTTTCAGATGTTCGATTCGAACCTTTAATTCGTTCCCGCGGTGAGTTTCTGCAACTGCACTGATCGCACTCATTGAACATTTTTTGGGCTATGATAAATTTGGGAGAGGAAGTGAAATAGCTATATTGCTTGTCATCTTGTTTTGGCCTTGAAAGAAGAAATTAAAAATCCACTGGGAAGAAATTTAAAATCCACTGGCCATAAACTTGAAATCCACTGGGCAGAAATTACAAAGTCGGCGGATTCAAATTTAGTAGGAGAAGAAATGAAAGTCTGAATGAGGGATCTGGACTACATTATAATTTAACAATCGATATACACTTATAGTAATTCATATTTTAGTTATTATAATATAAAATAATTAATACGTTGCCAAATAGAAATTTAATATAACAAAATATGAAAATATTAATAATATATATCATAAATGAGGAACATTTTTTGTAGTATAAGCAATGTTAATGAATAATAAATAATCAATAATCACTAAGATATAATAAATAATTATTAATAAATATTAATTTATAAATAATAAACTATGATTGATAAATCAAATATAAGCATACAATTTCAAATAAATATTTTAAAAGGGTACTCTAATACTTTAAAATACTTTTAGTATTTTCTGTATTAATTGCCCTTTTTTGTTCCGGTCACTCCATTTTACAAAGCGCGCGTTAACAGGACATGCATGTAAGTAAATGTAATTTAACTATTTACCAATAAATATAATAGTTTTAATACATTTTAGAAATTATGAATCCATACTACCCAACATCGTATCCGCCGGGTTATGCCCCTGCACCGTACCAGGGACAGTACCCGGCACCATACCCGGTAATCTACGCAGCGCAGCCGTACGGTTACTATCCCCCGCCCCCACCTTCTCCTACCGCTGGTCCGTACTTTTACCAGTACGGACACCCCTATCAGCGGTGGTACGCAGGAGGGGCTAACGGGCGCCGCCGGCGTCCCCACTGCACCATAAGGGCACACAAGCGTTACCGGAATGATGCTGGTCCGGCACCTGCCGCTGCACCTGCAGCTCCACCTGCAGCTCCACGTACAGCAGGAACTGAACTTTCTGTTGAAAGAATGAACATAAACAACTAACATGTATATTAACTAAAATTATAATAAAATAAAAGAGAACATTAAAAAATATTAACTGTCTAATTGAATTTACGTTGCTTTTCACTGATAATTATGTAACAGTCACAATTTTCCACAGAATTTCAGGAGGCTTTCAACCTGTTCGACAACCGCGGCGATGGCAAGATCCAGATGAGGCAGGTGGGCTAGTGCCTGACGGCCCTGGGACAGAACCCCACGGATTCGGACGTGAAGAAGTGCACCCACCAGCTGAAACCCAACGAGCGCACCTCGTTTTAGGTGTTCCTACCTATTTACCAGGCGATCTCAAAGGACCGTTCTGGCGATACGGCCGATGACTTTATCACTTTGACAAGGACGCCAGCGGCTACATCTCCTCCGTCGAGCTGCGCCACTTGCTGGCCAACATGGAGGACCAGCAGGGCAACATCAACTACGAGGAGTTTGTTCGCATTGTCATGAGCGGCTAGGTCGGCCGGGTCCTTCCGATTCCAACTGTTTGGCACCACGACAATAGAAGCAACACACACTATCTAACACAACAGCAACACTGAAACACCTGCCAAGCTAGCCGATCTGTTCATTCCGCCAGAAGTCCCAACTCTGTGATTCCAACTTAGCCATTCTTATCCCTGGTGAAGAACAAATTCTGATATCGAGATATATATACATACATATACACCCAGAAAAAAAAGAACGAAACAAATCAAGAACATTTTTCATGAAATGCGAACAATCCGTTCTCCATTTTTAGTTCTCACATTTCGAACGTTTGTTCACGAAAATCGAACGGTGTTGGTAACAATTTCTACCGACGAACAACTTGGTTCCAAATTGCGAAAAATGTTCTCAGATATCGAACGCCGTTCCTGAAAAAGCTGCGATAGACGCGTTGATGTCTATCGAAATCGATAATATCAACACCGTTCATAAAAACATGTATGTAGGTCTAGGTCCCGATTTTCCGCAGACGAAAAATTCGCTCGGTGGTCCAGCTGCTAGAGCGTCCGCCTTCAACACATGGTAGCACAGGTTCGAGTCCGCGAGAAGACGGTTGTGAATTGTAAGTTTTATTAAAATATTATTTCTAATGTTTATATGTACTTCTATTAATAAATAAATTCTTTGTCTTCAGCAAAATATCCAAAATACATTGAATTCTAGCAATAACAAAAACATAAGGTGGGAAATTAAATAAATCTCTACCAGGCGTCCAGAAAGTCTAGCGTGTACACAAACCTCGTTTTTTTTTAGATTTTTATGTTCTCAAGTTAAGCCCGAAATGTTCTTAAACTGACACCATTCGTTCGGAGCCCGACCCTAAAGTTTCGGTCACATTTTACGAACGACCGTTCATGAACTGTCAACAAACGGGCTCACGCACTTTTTGACAACGTTTGGTCTTGATTTTTGAACGTTTCGAACGGATTTTTTTCTGGGTGTACATATCGAGATATATATCCCTAATAATTAGCTGAAAACTGAAGCAAACTGAAAACAGAGATTGGAGCTACTCTCTCTACCAAAACTAACCATCGATGTAGACAAAGATTCATTATTAACCATAACTAATCACCGCGTCTCTGAATGTGCGTATAATTCTAAATGGAAACTAGAAGATTAACCTGCCGCCCGCCCACCACAGCTGCCTGCAGTATATGTGTACGGGGTTCGTTTCCTTTTCAAACTGTTTCGGAAAACACCACTCTTCCTCATCAGCGATCTACTTTGCCTGTGCAGAGCGCATGGGTCAGCAGACGCAAACCAATAAGAATACTGTTTATTGGTTTCTTCTATGCATCTGCTGACTAAATATTCCGAAATATTTCGTCGGTTTGGACGCTCTCTAAACTCTTTATCAAATATTTGAACATGGAGCACCGTAATTTCGAACATAGCATTAGAAGGATTTTTTAAATAAAGCTCAACAGAACTATAATTTTTTGCCTTGATGAACTGCTCTGTTTTGGATTTCATTTCATCCATTGAGGACAGAGTTTTCGTACATTTTGGGCAATTATCTCCATTTAATTTTTTTAAAATTACGTAACCCAAAAAGTATCTTAAGGCATTACGTTCTCCCAACTTGTCGTCAGGGCAATTTCTTTCCATTGGTTCTATACCCAATGTAGGTTTAACAATTAGATTGTCTTCAACAACTGTGTTCTCTTTGCATATTTCCAGTTCTAATTCTTCTATATTTTTGTTAATTTCCTGCATCATTCCTGGTTCATAGGACCAATCTAAGGAAATGTCACAATCTGGAATGCAATTTGTGTTCTTTGTAGTATGCTCATTTATAATTTTTGTTGACCATAAATTTGGAAGAGCATACAATAATTGCTGAGCTGTTGGATTTGTAAAATTTCCAAACTTGGATCTTAGTAAGCCAAATAAGTTTTCAAGAGGATCTTGGGAAAACCTGTTTAGGCGTATATATTGTATGCTTTCATTCCGTAAAAGTACTTTCAATTAGCTTTAAAACGCAAGTTGCAGTTGAAACTTTATTGGACTTGCGATCACGTAAAAATTGTATATTGGACAAATAAGCCATGAAATCTTCTAGCTTTGATTTCATTATATTATCTGAACGATATATACCTTCATTTAGAAGGTCAAATCCATCGTTCATTGTTTTCAAAAACTCTGACGTTGCAAGAGCATTCACTGAACTTTGTAATGTTCCGGCATTTCTCAATACATTTATACCATGGCTTACAGTATTTGAAAAAACTTGTGTAACCAATTTTACAATCATTTTTTGAAAGTTATTTGGATCAATGTGCCTATCTGATAGTTTTGGTGCAAGTCGAGTCACACCACATGAGTCAATTCTATAAAACTCTTCAATTACCTCCCAAGAGGCGATACTTTTAGATGTTTTTTCATCAAATTTAAGTGGGTCTGCAGGTAATTGCACATCCCTGTTCAAGAAGTTGTTTCTAACACTCTTAAACAAATGAACGTAATCAAAAATGTATTGTGGCCTTGGGCTAGAAATAAGTGTATCTAAAGATTTAAAAGCTACGAAATTCATAGCCGTAACATTAAGACCAATATTTCGACAACATTTGAAGGATTTTGGCATAATGTTCACCTCGTATAAAATTATTTACGAAGAAAACGCCCAAAACATATTTCCAAGGTTTCACTTGGCCACGGATCATAACCGCAAGCATTCCCTCCGCTGGAGAGGAATATTGGTCATTGTCAGAATAACCGTCTCCCAAGTCTGTAAATCCAACTACACGGTCAGACTTTTGGACATACTCCAATCCAGACTTTATGCTCATTTCATCAAACAGAATGGTACAGTTTTTATCTGACTCATTCATACTTTGAACAAATTCTGCCAAAATTTTGACATGTTCTCCTGAAAGGCCAGGTGTAAAGTCCTTTAATGGCAACCATCTTCTTAAAGAAGACTCAGATGGCATATTGAAGCCTAAATTTAGTCTTAAATTATTGTAAGCCTTAGGGCTATTCATATAAATTTGCAAAAAGAGCCGCTTTTCAGAATCTGTGCAATGAATTCCCTTTTTTCTGGACACAATGTTCTGGAATGTCATGACGTTATCATTCATTCCTGCGCTGCTCTTAATTTTGCATTCGCACAAATTTGACCATTTCGAAAATGTAGTTTTAATTTCTTGAATTTCGTTGCTGAAAAATGTTTTAAGCTGGACGGCTTCTTCACTTTGAGTTAAAAATGAATGAATTTTTGAAATAAGGGAATTAATTTCGACCTGCAGCGTGGCAGATTTATCTTTAAGCAGCATTATTTCCCAAAGCAAATCATAATTTTCACTTTGCAATGAGTCATTTTCGTTGGAAATGGCGAAATTTCTTTTGTACAGCGCATCATTTTGCATTTCCAGGCGGGAATTGTCAGCCTTAAGTTTACACAACTTTTTATTGATAATTTTATTTAATTTATCAATGTTATAATTTTTTTCAATCATCAAATTAATTTTGACATTCAATTTTGTGGTCTCATTTCTTAAATATATGTTTTTCAATATTAAGCCTTTATTAATTCGTGTTAGTGATGCGTTTTCATTTTTAAGAATTATGCCTAATTCTTGTGGTAATAATTTATGATTTAAAGGAGAGCTCGATCCTAATGGCAAAAATTTATCATATACTGGAGTGCTCAATCCTTTTTCTGAATACTTTATTTCATTGGGAGAGCTCAATCCATTTTCTAAATACTTATTTTCATTGGGAGAGCTCAATAACTTAAATAATATTGAAGAGCTCAATCTGTGAGGTATATTTACAGCAGAATCACTAGGAGAGCTTAATCCTTGCTGTGTACATTTCGATCCAAGCGTTTCAGTTTGAGAGCTCAATTCATTTTTAATGGTAGACATACCTTTTTTGATACAACTCTTTTGCCAAGTGCTAAACGTTGGTTCATGCACTGGAATATAACCTAAATAAAAATAAATATAATAAGGGATAGGTATATATTAGTTATTTAATATATTGAATTATAGAAATTCATTTTACGTACCCAACATTTCCGTCGGAACACTTCCCTTCCTAAGATTATCTCCTAGGAAGCATTCCGGCCTAAATTGCAACTTGCACACTTGGGAACGCTTTGCAGCGTGGTTTATTTTCAGGTTTACCAGCCATTTTTCCCTGTTTTCTCTTGCGAAAAAACAGTAGGCTTGAACCTGGCCCACGCAATTGGGAACAATGCATTTATTTTTATACCCGTTACTCGTAGAGTAAAAGGGTATACTAGATTCGTCGGAAAGTATGTAACAGGCAGAAGGAAGCGTTTCCGACCCCACAAAGTATATATATTCTTGATCAGGATCACTAGCCGAGTCGATCTAGCCATGTCCGTCTGTCCGTCTGTCCGTCTGTCCGTCTGTCCGTCTGTCTGTCCGTCCGGATGAACGCTGAGATCTCGGAAACTATGGGAGCTAGGCTATTGAGATTTGGCGTGCAGATTCCTGAGCTTCTTACGCAGCGCAAGTTTGTTTCGG